CAGTATTTTAAAATAGTTTAGAGGGAAATGTTGGAAGAAGTCAGCTGTATTGCTGCCATCACTCCACCAGACATGTTCACTCTTTCATTTTTATCCATCTTATCCCAGCTGAGTCTGGGAATGAGCTATCTCCAATGAATGACCTGCTTGGCCCACCAGCTGTAGATCAGACTGGCAGCCAAGAAACCATTTCTTGAAAGCAAGGGAACAACTCATTCATCATTATGTCACACTGTGAAGTATACTTAGTGGTGAAAAGAATGATTGTAGCTATCATTTTTAGTTTGAATTCACTCTCTTCAGACACCAGAGTATTAGAGAGGAGATTGTACTCCAGTAGAGAAGGGATGTTTTTGTACTTTTATTCTTGTTATATTTTCTAAGTAAATATACTTTTGTAAAAGCTAATTGATGTTAATGGTTTTTTTGACAAATAAAGAAGCTTCCAACTGAGGAGGTACTAACTGGCATTGGCAAATGATATTTGGGCAGAAGTCACTGGTGGTTGAAATTTATAATATACCAGAAAAGGTGCTTGAAATGATAGCATTAGAAGTACCCCACTGCTCTTCAAGAGTTCCTCTAGAAACTTGAGAAGGAGAAGTAACTATCCATGGTTGGGGAGAACTGGTCTGCTAGTATACATGTGGGTTGAGTAAGTCCAGAGTCTCATTATGTGCAAAAACTAAACAAAAAAACCCCAAAACTGTACATAATGAAAAGTAAACAAATCATTCAAAATAGAAGTTCACAATTTCATATACAATCCTTTGTTCACTGCTCTTTTTATACTGAAAGATTCAAATATGGGAGATCAGCCAGATAGTAGAATAGAAAGAAATAATATAGTGTACCTCTCTAAGTGTTTAGCACAGAGTCTGGTACATAGTAGGTGTATAATAGATATTTGTTAGCTAACAGAATCTCCACTATGACTACTCCAAGGACAATCTCAAATGAATATCAGAACAAGTAGTCATCAGCAAGTGAAGAAGAAATCAAAATGGGAAGTTCTATAGGGTCTTACCTAGAGTGCTCTAGGAAGGTCTTAAAAAAACTTATCCATAAGAGAAAAGGGGGGGGCAGAGCCAAGATGGTGGAGTAAAAGCAGTGACTTGCTTGAGCTCTCCCCTAAACCCCTCCAAATACCTGTAAAAAATGGCTCTAAACAAATTCTAGAGCAGCAGAAGTGACAGAGTGAAACAAATTTCCAGCCCAAGATAACCTGAATGGTTGATTGGAAAGGTCTATTGCTCTAGGCTGGGAGAGGAACACAGCTCAGCATGGGCACGCAGTCAACAACCAGGCCTCAGCAAACCTAGAGCAGGCCTCAGGGGACTAGAGGAGCTGTGGCGGTTTCCAGGCTGCTCAACCGACAAAAGCCAAAGACAATTAGAAGGTCAGTAGGAAAGGTCTGTGACCATGGTGAGAGAGAGAAGCTAGGTCCCAGCCCCAGTCCCAGTGCAGCCCCAGGGCGGCAGCTGCTTGCAGAGTTCTCAGCCCACAAATGGAGGGGAGATTGAGTGACTGATCAGAGGGTTATTGCAGGGATCTCTTTGCTGGTGCTGAGGCAGGAATCTCTTGCTTTGCTCATGCTAGGATCTGGGTCACAGTTCTGGGTGATGGTCTTGGCTCAAGGAGGAGCATTGGCATGGTGGAGCTTGTAGCTGTAGTGGAGAGTGAATCCTCCTCACAGTTCCAAGGCAGGAAAGAGTGCTTATGGTCACTCATAGACCAGAGCACAGACCAGGAAAAGAGTAAACACCTTGCCCTTGATTGTACCACCTTGGAAAAAGTGAAAAATTACAGGTCCTTAAAAGTATCTTCAGAAGCTGCACAAAACCCCTAAAGCTTGGAACAGTACATTCTCCACACTGGACACAGACTCCTACCTTAACAAAGAGTTTAAAAGTTAAGTAATTGGCTGGGAACATGAGCAAACTGCACAAATCTTTCTTTGATCATAGAATCTTTGTTTGGTGACAAAGAAGATCAAAACATACAACCAGAAGAAGACAGCAAAGTCAAAGCTCCTACATCCAAAGCCTCCAAGAAAAATATGCATTGGTCCCAGACCATGGAAGAGCTCAAAAAAGATTTTGAGAAGCAAGTAAGAGAAGTAGAGAAAAAACTAGGAAGAGAAATGAGAGGGATGCAAGAAAATTATGAAAAATAAGTTAACAGCTTGCTAAAGGAGACCAAAAAAAAAAAAAAATACTGAAGAAAATAATACCTTAAAAAATAGCCTAACCCAAATGGCAAAAGAGGTTCAAAAAGCCAATGAGAAGAATACCTTCAAAAGCAGAATTGGTCAAATGGAAAAGGAGGTCCAAAGCTCACTGAAGAAAATACTTCCTTAAAAATGAGAAATCAAGACATTACAAAACAAAACCAAAAGAATGAAAAAAATAGAAGACAATGTGAAATATCTCATTGGAAAAACAATTGACCTGGAAAATAGATGCAGGAGAGAGAATTTAAAAACTATTGGACTATCTGAAAATCATGATAAAAAAAAAAGCCTAAACATCATCTTTCAAGAAATCATCAAGGAAAACCCTGATATTCTAGAACCAGAAGGCAAAATAGAAATTGAAAGAATCCACCAATCACCTCCTGAAAGAGATACCCAAAGGAAAACTCCTAAGAATATTGTAACCAAATTCCAGAGTTCCCAGGTCAAGGAGAAAATATTGCAAGCAGCCAGAAAGAAACAATTTAAGTATTGTGGAAACACAATCAGGATAACACAAGATTTAGCAGCTTCTACATGAAGTGATCAGAGGGCTTGGAATATGATATTCTGGAGGTCAAAGGAGATAGGATTACAGCTAAGAATCACCTACCCAGCAAAACTGAGTATAATCCTTCAGGGTAAAAAAATAGACATTCAGTGAAATAGAGAACTTTCAGGCATTCTTGATGAAAAGACCAGAGCTGAATAGAAATTTTGATTTTCAAATACAAAACTCAAGAGAAGCATGAAGAGGTGAACAGGAAAGAGATATCATAAGGGACTTATTAAGGTTGAGCAAATGTTAACATTTCTGCATGGAAAGATGATATTTCTAAGTCATGAGTCCTTTGTTATTATTAGAGTAGTGGGAGGGAAAAATTATATGTGTATATATAAATAGATAAGTAAATAGATAGAGGGCACAGGGTGAGTTGAAGAAGGAGGGGTGATATCTGGAGAATAAAATTAATGGGTGAGAAAGGATTATACTGGGAGAAGAAAGAGAGAGATAGAATGGGGTAAATTATCTCACATAAAACAGATAGGTAAAGGCTTTTACAATGGAGGGAAGCGGGGGAAAGTGAGAGAGAATGAGCGAATCTTATTCTCATCAGATTTGGCTTAAGGAGGGAATAACATACACACTCATTTGGGTATGGAAATCTATCTTGCCCTACAGGAAAATAGGGGGGAAGGGGATAAGAGAGGGGGAGATGATATAGGGGAGGGCAGATTCCGGGAAGGAGTAATCAGAAGCAAACACTTTTGAGGAGGGACAGGGTCAAAAAAGAGACTAGAATAAAGGGGGGGAGGATAGGATGAAGGGAAATATAGTTAGTTTTTCACAACATGACTACTGTGGAAGTGTTTTGCATGACTACACATGTATAACCTGTATCCAGTTGCTTGCCTTCTCAGTGAGGGTGGGTGGCAAGGGAGGAAGGAAAAAAATTTGTAATTCAAAGTTTTAAAAACAAATATTAAAAATTGGTTTCACATTCAACTGGGAAATAAGAGACACAGGCAATGGGGTATAGAAATCTATCCTGCCCTACAGGAAAATAGAAGGGAGAGGAGAAGATAGAAGGGAGGGCAGATTAGGGGAAGGGGTATTCAGAATGCACGCCATCTTGGGGGCGAGGGACAAGATGGGGAGAAAATTTGGAACTCAAAATCTTGTGGAAGTGAATGCTGAAAACTAAAAATAAATAAATTAATAATAAATAAATAAATAACAAATAAAAAAGAAAAAGAAAAAGAAAAAGGGGTCTGTAGGGGACAAGTGGTTTTCCAGGGTGAAAAGTTCACAGGGTCAGGATGAAGTTCCAAAATGATGTCTGCAGCATTGTAGAGAAAGAAGTCTGGAAAATCAGGAGCCCAGAAAGAAATGAAGGAGTGAAAGGAAATATTCACAGAACATCTGTGCATGTTCTGAATCAGGGTAGGTCCTACCATTATACTTTATCATGTATTTCCAAAAGCAGGTTCACCAATTGCCCCCTCCCCTAACAAGCTGGCAAGAAACAGAGGTACGTGCTTCTATGACTGCACACTCATTGGCCGGTTTCCCCCACCCTCTACATGTATAATTCACAACGGGGTAGTCCCAGTATTACCCAGCTAATTAAGTTTTTTCTTTTTTCTTTTTTTTTTAAAGGATTTTAACACTTAGCCAAGCAAAAATTAAAAAACAAAACAAACAAACAAACAAACAAAACAAACACAAAATCCATCAGCAGTGTGCCACGCCAAGACATTTTTCCTCAGACGCTTTCCACCCCAGGATATCTGGCCAGGAAGGTGAGGAAAGACTTGAGGTTTTCTTCAACCAGACTGTGAACAATGTAAGTAGTTTTTGGGTTTTTTTTTTTGGAAACCTGCTCCATTGAATTACAATGGGGCTCTAGACTGCACCAAAACCAATTCACAATCCCATATCAAAAATCTGGTTTGTCTCAAAAAGGTTCAGGTTAGCATACTTGAGAGAAGCTAAGCAAAGTTCCTTTTTATCCACCAGCCCAACCAGCTATTGCTAATCTCCTAGGGGGGGTTGAACGTCAATATAATGTAGGTCTAAATTTATCTGTCATCTGTTCCTTGGGCAATCTCAAGGGGAACCATGGTAGCTCCACGACTTGCCATAGAGTTGGGGGCAGCTAATGAGCAGAGAGAACAGCTCAAATATTCCCAACTACTGCCACTGCCGCATGTGACCAGTGGGGCTCCGCCTCCCGTTTCACCCCAGCTGCGCCAGATCCCTACCTTGGGGGGAGTCTTTTGCAGAGAGTGTGAGACCAGCTCAGATTCCAACTCCTCTTGTACTCTAGCTTTGCAGCTTCAGTAGCTCCTAAGCTGGCATCAATTTCCCTAAGTGTCAGCTGCAGCTGCGGTAGGGAAACAAGAAAAAGGAAGACGGGAGCATTATCTAGGTACCACTGAGTTCGTGCGGAGCTCCTGGAAGAAAAGGGAAAAGGAGGGAAAGAGGCAGCCGCAGAGGCGGCAGCAGCAGCAGCAGCTGTGAGGCTCCGCTTTGCTCAAGGCACCTCAGCCTGCTGTACATACGCGGCTCTGGAGGTTCTTTTTCTCTCCTACAGGGGAAGGCGAAGGCTCCCCTATGAACCGCAAGACAAGCGAGAATGTGGAGTATACCCTGCGGAGCCTGAGCAGCCTTATGGGCGAGAGGCGGAGGAAGCAACAGGATCCAGACTCGGCCATCGCCTCTGGGGAACAGAGCCTCATTGCTGCCACCGAGTCATTCTGCAGCTTGCAGGGGAGTGGTGGCCCAGGCCCAGGCTCCAACACCTACCTTGGCGACAGCGGGGATCTGGAGAGAGCGGCGCGGCGGCAATTCCAGCAGAACGAGACCCCTTCCTTCGTCTACGTACTGTCGGTCTTCTCAGCCCTGGGCGGCTTCCTGTTTGGCTATGACACGGGAGTCGTGTCGGGGGCTATGCTGCTCCTGAAGCGGCAGCTCAGCCTGGACATGCTGTGGCAGGAATTGCTGGTGTCTGGAACCGTGGGGGCGGCTGCCGTCTCGGCACTGGCCGGCGGGGCCCTCAACGGCGTATTTGGCCGCCGTGCCGCCATCCTGCTGGCCAGTGCCCTCTTCACTGCTGGCTCCGTGGTACTGTCGGTGGCGCAGAATAAGGAAACGCTGTTGTCGGGCCGAGTTGTTGTGGGACTCGGGATCGGTAAGTTTGTAGTGGAGAAACCCCTCTAAACAGGCACCATCTAAGTCCCTATAATTAAACATTTTGTCCCTTGTATTTCTGCTATCTCTCCATCTTAGCTCATCCCATAGACACTGGGCTGCCTTTATCTCATTCAGGTCTTCTCTGCAATGTCATGACTAATAACCAAGCCCTCAGCTCAGCCTGTATCTTCCAGCCAGACACAGGCCTTGTATCCCTCTTGTATCTCTTTTAGTGAGCTTGCTCGATTTCCAGGCTTCTCCCATAACCAAGCCTATTTTGATGTTTCTGTCTCTCTCTCCCTTTCCTCTCCTTATCACCAGCCCACCTTGGCCCTTATACCTTTCTTGAACCATTTCCTGAAGTCTCCAGCCTAGCCTATTTCCACTTTACTAGTTTGTCCTGGTCTTCTAAACTGCTTTTCTGGTTCTAAATTATTTTCCCTATCTTTTCTTTCTTCACTCATCTCCATCTTCATTTTTAGGTGCCTTTCCTATTTTTCTCTATTTTCACCCTTCATCTTTCTGCCCACATTTATATCCATTTTTTCCCATTCTTTCCTTTTTCTTTTCCATAAAGGACATGTTTTCTCCTTAAATTTATGTAAAGCAGACTTTCCATACCAATAAGATGGAATATTTTCACATTCATCTACTGTAGTTCAGTCATCACTAAATTAATGGACATCCTCTCAGTTTTTCATTCTTTGCCATGTCAAAAAAAAAAAAAAGCTATGGATATTTTTGTGTATCTTTGCAGTTTGTTTTGCTTGGGTCCAATTCCTCCTTTAATCTATCTTCCCTCTAATTCTCCTTTCTGCCTTCTCTCCTTTTCTTCCTATTTTCCTGTTGAGAAAAATGTATTCATATACTCAACTCTGGTGTGTGTGTGTGTTTTCCTCCTTTGACCAATCAGTTCGGATGAGAGTGAGCTTAAAGTGTCAGCTCCTGCCCCCACTTCTTCCCCCTTGTTCATATAGACTTCTGTTTGTGCAACCTGATTATGTGAGATGATTTCCCCTAACCTTCCTCTCCTTTTCCCTATCTAAGGCCCAACAGAACCACTCCTAGGTCTTCTAATTAGACTCCATATGTGATGCCTGATGATGATAGGGTTCAGAGGGTACACATATGTCACATCCTCTTATTAGAGTGTATGTAGATGATTCTTGTTTAGTCCCTTATGACTATAATGTCTACCTTTTTATTTCTCTTGATTCCTGTGTTGGCACTTCAGAGTTTCTATGTAGCTCTTGTCTTTTTATCAAGAATGCTCCAAAGTTCTCTATTTCATTAAAGGTCTATTTTTTCCACTGTAGGCTCATATTCAGTTTTGTTGGGTAGATTATTCTTGGTTGTAAGCATGTTATCTTTTACCTTTAGAATATCATGTTCCAAGCTCTCCTCTTCTTTAAAGTAGTGGTTGCCAAATTCTGTGTGAGACTATGGGTCCTCTGTATTTGAATCATTCCTTTCTGATTGTTTATGGTATATGTGTGTGTGTGTGTGACACACACACACACATATATAACCTGGAAACTCTGTGCTTTGGCTTTAATGTTTTTAAGAGTTTGCATTTTGGAATTTCTTTCAGGAGATAACCAATGGATTCTTTCTTTCCTTCGATGATCCAGCTGAATCTTTAGTTTATTAATTTCTTTTTTAGAAAATCATCTTATTGTGAACAAAATGCAGCTTTAAAGACTGTCTAAAACAAAGTGTCACTATAGATATCTTCAGATCATAAAAAAAGATTGTGACAAATATGACTAGCTACAATCACAAAACTGTGTTAAGTCCACTATAAATGTATGTTACATAACCTCAACTGGGCCTGTAGTGCTGCAGGGTAATCCTTTTACATCCCTGTATTGTCACTATTCACTCACTATTCTATTTCTCACAGCAGCTATTCCAAACCTTTTCTTTTAAAAATAAGTTTTTATTGCTATATTTTGTTTTTTTTAAACAACTGTAGTTTCTTCCAGTAATCTTCCACCTCCCAGAGAGTCATCCCATATAACAAATAGTATTTTTTAAAGAGAAAAAAAAGAAAGTCATAATAGACATCAAATATTTTGAAAAAATGTAGACGTCTCACCTCTGCAAAGGGGTGCAGTGGGAGAGTCTTTTCGTATCTTTTTTCAAGCCATGCTTTTTCTTTATAATTTTGCAAGCTACATGTTGTGTGTGTATGTATGTGTGTATGTAGTTATTCTTTTGGTTTATATTATTGTAGTCATTGTATGTACTGTTTTCTTGGCTCTGCTTTCTTTATTCTGAATCATTCAATATAGCTCTTTCCATGCTTCTGTATTCTTTATATCCATCATTTCCTACAACATGGTAATATTCCATTATATTCATTTGTTTAGTTGTTTTCCAATCAATGGGCATCTATTTTGTTTCCAATTTTTGCTATCACAGAAAGTACTGATATCAATATTTTGGTGTATATTGAGACTGTCTTCTTGGACTCCTTGGAGTATAAGTCCAGGAGATGAATTTCTGGGTCAAAGGGTAAGGACAGTTTAGTCACTTCCTTGGCAATTCCAAATTGCTTTTGAATATGGTTGTATCAATTCACAGCTCCACCAACAGTACACCACCAATGTGCCTATTTGCTTACAGCTATTCCAACACCGATTATTCCTATCTTTTGTAATCCTTGCCAATTTGTAGGGTATAAAGTAAAACATCATGATTAGTGATTTAGAGTATTGTTTGAAGTAGTTGTTAATAGTTTGCAGTTGTTCTTTTGAGAACTGTTTGTTCCTATCCTTTGACCACTTATGTATTTGGGGAATAGTTTTTGTTTAAGTATATGTACATGAATATGTGTTATGTGTACATGTTAATTTTTTATGTATTTTGGTTATCAAACCCTTGTCAGAAATTTGATACAGACTTTTCTAATTTGATGGCTTCTGTTCTAGGTACATTAATTTTTTTTCTCTGTAGAAGATTTGTAGCTTCATGTAATCAGAGTTACCTATTTCCTCTTTTTAGTAGGCTCTATACCTTGTTTGGTTAAGAATGCATCTCCTGTCTAAAGCTATGAGAGTTATTTGATCCTTTTTAATTTTTTATTGTATTATCTCTAATATTAAGGTCATGTATCTATTTAGAATATTTTGTGGAAGGATTCTTTCTATTTCTACTTTGCCTTCTGGTTCTAAGAGATCTGGGCAGTTTTCTTATGATTTGAAATGTTTAGGCTTTTTTTTTAGTCATGGCTTTTAGGTAGTCCAATTAGTCTTTAGTTATCTCTATTTGGTCTTTTTTCTAAGTCATTAGTTTCTGCCATAAGATGTTTTATTTTCTAATATATTTTCAGTCTTTTGACTTTATTTTAATATTATTGATGTCTCAAGCAATCAGTAACTACTTCCTCCTTCTCCTCTTCCCTTTCTTCTTCTCCTTCTGTTACTAGCTTCTTTTTGGTCCATTCAATTGTTTCAGGAAGTTGGTTGCTCAGGTAAGATATTATTCTTCTTGAGCCAAGTTATTAATTACCTCTCAAATTTTTTTCTTCCATAACTCATTTCTTTTCCAATTTTTTCTCCAGTGCCCTCATTTTATTGATGAAAATACTTTTAACTCTTTTTATTTTTTCTCTTCCAGAAATTCTAGTTGAATTTGGATTTATGCTGTGTTTTTCTTTGAAGCTTTGCTTGTAGATGTTTTGGAATCATTCTTTTCTTTTGGTTAGTGTTGTTTTTTCCCCAGTAGAGTATCATTTTATTTTTAAATGTATTTTATTTTTTCCCAATTACACGTTAAAACAATTTTATCCTTTATTTTGTGTTTCATTTTTTTCTCGATTACATGTAAAAACCATTTTCAACATTCATTTTTAAAAGAGTTCCAAATTCTCTCCCTTTCTTCCCACTACCCTCATTGAGAAGCAGGCAATTTGATATAGGTTATATATGTGTAGTCTTGCAAAACATATTTCCATATTAGTCATGTTGTAAAAGAAAATACAGAACAAAACAAAAACCCTCCAAAAATAAAGTAAAAAAAAAAAAGTATGTTTCAGTCTGTATTCAGACTCCATCAGCTTTCTATCCATAGTATTTTTCATCATAAGTCTGTCAGAGTTGTCTTGGATCATTGTATTGTGAGAATATCCAAGTCATTCACAGCTAATCATCTTACAATATTGTACAATGTTCTCCTGGTTTTAGTCATTTTATTTTGCATCAGTTTAGGTAAGTCTTTCCAAGTTTTTCTGAGAGCATCTAGCTCATAATTTCTTATAGCACCACAGTATTCCATCACATTCATATAGCAGAATGTGTTCAGCTGTTCCCCAATTGATGGGTATCCCCTCAATTTGCAGTTCTATGCCATTAGAAAAGAATTACAGTAAATATTTAGGCATAGTTCTAAATTACTCTATATAATGGTTGAATCAGTTTACAGCTCCACCATCAGTGCATTAGTGTCTCAATTTTCCCACATCCCCTCCAACATTTGTCACTTTCCTCTTCTAGTCTATTAGCCAGTCTAATAAGTATGAAGTAGTGCCTCAGAATTGGTTTGATTTGCATTTTTCCAATCAATAGAGATTTGGAACATATTTTTTCTTGTGGCTATAGATAGCTTTGATTACTTCCATTTGAAAACTGACTGTACATACTTTTTGATCATTGAGGAATGGCTCTTATTTTTATAAATTTGACTCATTTCTTTATATTTGAGACATGAGGCCTTTATCAAAGAAACTTGCTTCAAAATTTTTTTCACAGTTATGATTGCTTAACTGTATTTCCCTCTATCCTGTTTCCCCATTTATTCTGTTCTCTCTCCTTTCACCCTATCCCTTCTCAAAAGTGTTTTGCTTCTGACTACCCTCTTCCCCAGTCGGCCCTCCCTTCTATTACCCCTCCCTTCTCTTGTCCCCTTCCTCTCCTACTTTCCTGTAGGGTAAGATAGATTTCTATACCCATTTGAGTGTGTATGTTATTCCCTCTTTGAACCAGTTCTAATGAAAGT